CTCTTTTTTCTAGCTGTCTTCTCTTTCCCAGCTCTCTCTTTCCCAGCTATCTCTCTCTTTCCCAGGCCTTTCCCAGCTGCATGGAGGGCCAACATGACCTGGTGCCAGCCAGAACGATGAATAAACTTACCCCTTACCTGAATACCACGTGCGTGGAGCTGTTCTTACTCGGCTACCTCTTTTTAAAAACCTAACACTCCCCAAATTAGAAAAATGTATATACAAGATTCAGAGTACCAAAATCAAGTACAGTGACAACAGATGATATACTAAAGGGGAAGAACATAAAGGAAACAAAAAAAATCACTTAGTACATTAAAACAACAACAACAAAGACCTCTTGTATCTGTATTTTGGGGTTCATTTCTCTTAGCATCATCTTATGTGGTCATATGTTCATAGCTGTTGAGCTTTTCTGTGCATCTGATAAAATTAGCCTAGATGTATATTAATTATTGCAAATAAGGGAAACCATGGTACCTATATTTCTTTGGGTCTTATTTCACTTAATATGATTTTTTTTCCCAAGTCTTTCCATTTCCTAAAGAATGTGGTGGTGTCATTCTTTCTGATTGAGGCATAGAATTCCTATCTATCTATCTATCTATCTATCTATCTCACATTGTCTTGATCCATTCATCTACTGAGAGGCATATGGGTTGGCTCCATATCTTAGCTATGGTGAACAATGCTGTGATAAACATAGTTGTACTGGTAGCTTTAGTGTGGGCTTGTTTGTTATCATTCGGGTAAATGCCCAAAAGTGGGATTGCTGGGTCATAGAGGAGCTCTATGTGGAGTCTTTTGAGGAACCTCCATACTTCTTTCCAGAGTGGTTGAACAAGTTTACACTCTCACCAACAGTGCACTAGGGCTCCCTTTTAGCCACATCCCCTCCAGCATCTGTTGTTAGTAGATTTCTTGATTATAGCCATTCTAACTGGGGTAAGGGGGAATCTCAATGTTGTTTTTATTTGCATTTCTTTTATGGCCAGAGAAGTTGAACATTTCTTCATGTGTCTATTGTCCATTCTTATTTCTTCTTCAGAGAAGTCTCGCTTTAAGTCTTTAGCTCTCTTAGTAATGGGGTATTCATTTCTCTGAGGATTTGTTTTTGGAGTATTTAATTTTTTGAGTTCTAGGTATATTTTTAGATATGAGGCTCTTGTCTGTTGTATAGCTAATAAAGATCTTTTCCCAATCAATGGGCTTTCTATTGATCTTGCTAGCTATGTCCTTTGCCATGCAGAAGCTCTGCAGTTGCATGCAATAGAAATGACTTTCTTAAAGCTCTAGGAGGGAGGAGGAGATGATGTATTGGGCCTCCTTGTCAGTGGGTAAGTCAGTGTGTGTCAATATGTTATCTGTGCTGGGTTCATGCCTGTAATCCTAGCCACTGAGTAATCTGAGATCTAAGCCAGTTTGGGAAGACAAATCAAGAGAACTCTAATCTTCAATTAACCAGGAAAAAGCACAAGTGGAGGCATGGCTCAAGTGGTAGAGTTCCACCCTTGGTGAAAAAGCCCATTAAGAACCCAAGGTCCTGAGTTCAAGTCCCAGTATCAGCACAAGCAAAAAAGACTATCCATTCCTGATGTTTCGGACAGTGTCCTTCACTATGCTGACTATCTTTCCTTTTTTCCTCCATTCAAACTTCCCTTCTTCTGTCTCTTTCTTTCTCCTTCTCAGAGCAAGGCAAAGGAGGTAAGATTTAGAGGGCAATGCCGATTACTTAAACACTTACTATACATCAACAAACAAATTATCCTCCTAAATATGAATGCTTTAAACATTTATTCTCTTGCTACTAATGTCTGTTAGTACAGACAGAAGAAATGGACAAGACGGTAAGATTCACATTACTACCTCCTTCCTTCCTTCCTTCCTTTTTTCCTTCCTTCCTTCTCTCTTTCTCATGTGTCTCTCTCTTTATCTCTATCTCCTCTCCTCTCCTCTCCTCTCCTCTCTTCTCTTCTCCTTTGCCAGTACTGGGGCTTGAAATCAAAGTCTCACACTCCCTCTCGGCTTTTTTGTTCAAGACTGACTACCACTTGAGTCACACCTCCACTTCTGAGTTTTTGTTGGTTAACTGGAGATAAGGATTACATGGACTAGTCTGCCTAGGGTGACTCTGAACTAGGATCTTCAGATCTCAGTCTTGTCAGTGGCTGGATTATAAGTGTAAGCTACTGGTGCTTGGCATTACCTAGTTTCTTAAAGGCAATATCACCAAAACATTCCAATTCTTAGTGGTTAGCACATGGCTTGACTTTCTAGTAGACAAATTCAATGATTTTCTATGAGTCTGAATTCTCTTTGCTCTCTGGGCAATAAAGTTGATTTTGCTAGCCAAATGCTCTTCAAAATGCGTCATGCCTCTTTATATAATATTATTCTTCCAGATACTTGTGTTAAGTCATATTTGTGTGATTTTGTTTTCAGTATTTGTTTGTCTTTCACTGCCAACTAATACATTGAATTTTTTTTGTTTATGGGAACCTCTCTATAATCTGTGCTCAAGAACAAGATGTAGGCATTGATTGGTTCTAACTCCATCATCTTATAACTGAACTCTCCCAGCCACAGTAATTGGGTCAGGAATGTCACATAATTGGAAGATCCAATTAGATGCAATAGGAATTTTGCTAGGGCTCCAGAAAAATATGCTTTTTTCACTCCCTAAGACTCCCTAAAAATATATAGTATTTTGAGGACCATAGGAAGTTTGAAAATACCACTTAAGAGGCAAGAAGTGAGGCAGAACAGTGATAATGTCTTGATGATATCCATACTACTTTTCAAATTCTAGATCCACCTGTACCTGTAGTCAGTTTCTTCTATACTATATAGAGATTACAAACAAACCAAACCAAATAATAATTCCTTCCTTACCCTCAACCCCCCCCCCCACAATATACTGGGTTAAACCCATTTGATTTGTGTTTTCTATCTCTACCAACCAAAACAATACAGAAAGAAAGTCACAACCTCTGTATTTTCCTGTGTACACATACAGAACTTTCTCTGTGGAGAAAGTTGTGGAAATGAATATGAAAGTGGCTATCTCTGTTTATTATGATGGGAAAGAAGACTATGAAGGGTTTTTTTGCACTATCTTTAATGTTCAACTGCTTTGAACATTACATTTACTCATGTAATTAAAATAAACATCCAATAAGCACAAAGAAAATACTTTGTTCTCAACTCCTTCATCCATTCCCCCAATCAATTTTCCTCCTCCCTTTTCTTCCTTTTAATTTATTATTTTTTTGTGCAATACTGGGGCTTGAATTCAGGGCCTTACACTCTCACTTGGCCTTTTCATTCAAGGCTGGTGCTCTAACACTTGAGCCAGAGCCCCATTTCCAGCTTTTTGATGGTTAATGGGAGATAAAAGCCTTACAGACTTTTCTTCCAACCATGATCCTTAGATCTCAGCCACCTGGGTAGCTAGGATTACAGGTGTGAGCCTCCAGTGCCAGGCTTAATTTCTTTCTAGATGTAACCCAATATGAAGTATATAAATGTTCTGATATGGTACATAAAGTATATAAATGTTCTCGTATGGGACTAAATAATTTCAAATACAGTTTGTGTTCCAGACCTCTCAGAACTGAATTTGTAGGTCCCGAAGACCAGAAGCCAAGGTGTTTATTCACTATTCCAGCTAGTTTAAAGGTCAGGCTTGTTTCTGATCAAGAAGAAACTTTCTCTCCCAGCTGCTTGCTTCTCCAGGGGAGGGCAGCCCTGCCCTTAGAAGCCACGTGAAGCAGCTCACCACGAGGGGGCGCGAGTTCGCTATAGTAGTCAAGGGAAAAAAGCGCTCACCTGAATCTTTAAAATCTGAATATTAGATTTCATCACTCTGGGCGAAGGCTGTACTTCACGGATCCCTAGAAATGGCGGTAGAGATATGCAGGACATTTAAACAGTAATTCTCTCCAAGCTCATTAATTCATTTTTTCCTACTTGCTGAAAACTGCTCTACTCGAGAGATAATCACCACTGATAAATCTCAATGAAAACAATTTTTGACAGATTCTAACATAATATTTTATTGCAACAGGCATGACAAAATCACTCTCTCTAAAAGGTGAAAAATTGAGACTGCATGAAAAATAGGCCCATGCTAAGAAACCTTTTGCTCAAATAAGGGAAATAAAATCACACTAGAATTATAGGCTAGAATATACCATGATGTTTTACGTGTGGCCCTCAGCCTGAAGAATGAAGGTATCTCAAAGAGATGTGTCATCTTTTTCTCGTGAAGTGGAACTGTATAAAATAATTTACAAACCATTCCAACCAGAGGGGAAAAAACCCAAATAACTGGCAATTAACAACTAAAATAATTCATCTTAAATAATGTTTGTTTCAAACGAATGAAACTATTTTTTTTTCAAATAGTGACAGTGATTTTTCAGGGACAGAAGATATCTTTCATTTGGGTGGACTGTTGAAGACAAGATGAAGACACCTGTCAAACTACAAATCAGGTATCTCGTTTTTCTTCTCATCCCTGGGAATACCCTGGTTATATAACAGTAGAACTGCAAACATGTGAGTTCTCTTTTACCCACCAGGAACCCACGGGAGAAGCTTTGGGATTCACGTGTTTCCATTGTCCTCAGAGTCAAGTTATACCGTGGATTTAAAATAAGCACAATTTCAGACTGGCAGTGGGAGCAGAATCTGGTTATAGAAACGATCCAACACCGTCCTGAATCACTCCAGAAAAAAACCTCACCGGATACCAGGGAAATAGCACACACTGGCTAATGTTGCCATACTATAAAAGGAAGGTTGCTTGCTAAGCGTCATACAGGATAATTTATTTTTCTCCTAGGCCTGACTTAGAAGTCAAGTCAGTTTGTCTTAGAGGCTCCCCCATCCTCTTCCAAACCCTGCAAACGTAGTGATCAGTGGATTCGATTACCTAGCAACATCCTCCTTTTTTCCTTCCTCTGCCCCTCTGCTTCCCCAGATGCAGCCGGTAAACCATGCTGAATCCAGTCCCATTTCCAGAACCCTCACTCACTCAGCAGCAGCTTTTCTTAGTGAGGTGGGTGGAGCTTGATGAGATGACTCCAAGGCCACGCCCACAGAGGAGGCGGGACGTCCCTATTTCCACACGCACTGAGGGGGCGGGGACGGAAGCTCTGCCCCGCCCACAGAGAGGCGAGGATCCTGGAGGCTCCGCCCCTGCCTGGGTGCACGTGACCCCGGCCCCGCCCCCTCGGTCGCTCCGCAGCGCCAGCTCGGCAAGCGAGGGAGGCGT